AATGACAGGACTGTGAGTCCTGGCTTTACCATGGTGTTGTATGGTACAATAGTTATCACTCTAGACTGGCAATGACAGGACTGTGAGTCCTGGCAATACCATGATATTGTATGGTACAATAGTTATCACTGTAGACTGACAATGGCAGGACTGTATGAAATGCTTTATTTATATTATAATGTTTTTTCTTTTACACTGGAAATATGTATTTGTTATCACCAAATGCAGCATCAAAATTTTATGCAGGTTCAGGCCAAAGGAATATAATGTCTAATGATGTAACACAATGTCCAAAAATGGACAATTGTATGTTATAAAATGTATTAAGTGCACTCAAGTATTAGCACTAATACCAGAATATGACATTTTTCGCAAAAGCCAATGCTTAAACGAAATGAACGAACTTACGTAGCCAAGCCTTCTTTAAGTAACACACAAGAAATGGTGCAACTTAGTGAACCAGCAATGCATTTTTTGCTCAACATTTTGAGTGGTATTTTGATATCTGACTGTGCTGGCAGTAATACTGCAAATTTTTTCATATTTATATTCTTCTCAGCTATTTTCTTTCTCTTGCCATTTTTAGATACCTGTCAATTAGTAAAAAAAAAAAAAAAAAAACTAAGAAAACATGATATCTTAATGTGAAATCATAAACTTTGGTTTCATGTTAGAAGTGCTTGAAACAGCGATAAAAGGGCTCAGTAGATCTAGAGTCATGTGTATTAGAACAGAAATGCACTGAAATTGTATACCTTGTGTGCTAGACTGTATTCAACTCAAGAAATCATTCATGCGAGTTACGAACATATCTTTTTAACAGTTCTCTCATGTTTAGTGATTTTTTTAATCCTGGATCATGAAAATGTAAGCAGTACTGACTGAAATCAACATAAATTTAAATCATTTATTTTAACCCGGCTTTATTGCATTAAGGTTTTGACAAAGCAAAGAAGCTGAAGAATACAGTGTGGATTGTATTTTTGATTGATTGAGCATAAAAATGTTCCTAATAATTGATGAGTCCTCACACTGAATACCATAACATATCGGTAGTTAATCATATTAATCAATGAAACACTCATTCAAGACAAATGCCAATGACTATATCATTTATATCTCAAACATTAAATAAATAAAACCCAAATGATCCCTCAAATACTTAAGGTTTTCTCACAGATATTTTTTCATAAGCAATTGTAAATTACATCTGTGTAGTCCCTATTGTCTGGTGCATTTTATATGCACACTTTTTTATTTTTATTTTAACCCTAAATAAGAATGTATTTTTTTGGAGGGTGGTGCACAATTTTGCCAGCTAAAACAAATTAGTGAATAAAATAAAATGTTGTGTTAGCCACAGAAATTCAGAAACATGGTGGGAGGGGGATAATAGTGAAAGATATGAATAGCACACATTATGGGTGTAACCCACCCACACAATGCACCTATACAGGTACTGCCAGATTAGTCAGCTCTGCTGATGCTACTACTGACAAAAATATACATTATAAATGTAATATTTAACAATATATTCATACTCCATTATTGCAAAATAAAAAAAATAAAAATAAATAACAATAATGAGTCAGTTAAATTTTTAAAACATTTCTAAAATGAGAAGAGTACCCACTTCATCAGTTTAAAATTTTTTATTACATTTTTTTGTTTACCATACAAACATGTAGATGATTGATGACATGGTATGATTCATAGGAGAATGATTATAGTGTATTTATCACGTAGATTCCCATTCAT